TAATTCGTATGAAGCTATAGACTTAGTATTTTGACATCACAAACATCTAATTTGAACCAGGGCTGCATTCAACATACCATGTGACATACAAAATCAGTGTTTAACTGTGTTTTTATTCATATTTACTTTTAAATTAAGAAATTGGGTAAGGTATTATACTAAAATTTGAATTATAATTTACAATTTAATACCAAACTTGTTGACATAAATTCATGAAATAGTAGTTCAACAAAATTTTGAATGTGAGTCAACAAATGCAATGACATGGCCTTTCATCCATGACCACCTTTCTGGAAAGGGTTAAGGCAGGTAACTACTTAGAATGGCTGGATTTCAGAACAAGCTTTACAGTGCCTGGTTCTAAGTTTAAATAGTCTAAACCTAAACTTGTTTGAGAATTTGAACTAGGAGCAACTTTGGGACTGCATGACAGTTATTATTGATCAATACTGAAAGTTCAACTTGGTAAAAAATAGATCAATTCATCAGGCCAAATTCAAGTCTTATAAAAAGGAGTACCACAGAAAGCTTGACTATTTGACATGGATCATTTGTGTGAGTGTCATGGTAAAGATTACTTTGCAATGGCTTCAGTAGGTTGTGAGGATATCTTCTTTGACAAGTTCATGGAAGGTCTACCCATCAAGATGATACAGCCTGATCTGTGTTAACAACATCTTGGTGTATAGTCAGACTTTCAAAACTGTGGTTAAGAACCTGAAAATGGTATTCCAGTGGATTACAAGAGAAGACTTGAAAGTGAAATCTGGAAAATTTGAGTTACGTGCATGAAAGGGGAACTTTTTGATTCTGTTACAGGTAGAGAAGGTATCTCCATGGGTCATACTAAAATAGCAGCAATGCAGGATTGGCCTCAACATGTGACCAAATAAGATGTTTGCAGTTTTGTTGAGCTTACATTGTGTTACTGATACTTTGTGGCCAACAACTGTAATATTTCCTCATCACTATTACCTTAACCGGGGACGAGGGTATTGCAATCCGATCTGTGTGTTTCCATGCGCAAGTCTCAAAAACTAATGGACCAATGTACATGAAAATTTTACACAAGATGGAAAGTCAGTATGGGACAGTACTCCCCAAATTTGGTCCAAATACAATTCCAGATCTAGATTCTAGATCACTTTGAAGCATTTTTTTATAATGGGGGAGATAGGGCATTTTCACAGTGTTGGGTTAATAACTTTATTATAAAGTGTGATCAGATTTGTACTAAATTTCATGCACACATTAAGGTTGGGATTCCTCATCACACTACCAAGGTGTTGCATACACTTGTGCTATTGTTTGAATGTGGTTCTTCTGGATGCAACTGAGTGTGTGCTCAGCAATTGGGTGAATAATGTGTGGTATGTACAACCTAGGGGAAAAGTTGAACAAAACAGGAGGTAAACTCCAGCAAGAAATTTTTGGTTCTCCTCTACAGAGAATAGCCTAGGTTATTGCTAGTCCACTCCTGGAGATGGAAAGAGGCCAAGTGTATATAGTTGTAGTCATCAACTACTTCACAGAGAAACCTGAGGCGTATCCATTAATTGATAGATACATCTACACAGTCCATGATTGATGCACTGATGGAGCACTGGATAGCCTGATTTAAAGCACCTGAATAGTTCCACTTGAATATAGGGACTAACTTTAACAGCCATCTGTAGTTGGAGTTGTGTAATGTTTTGGGTGTGGTGATGACACAGATTTCATACTCAGTCTGATGGTTTAGTGGTAGGGTGATACTGACTGCCAAGTGTATGCTTACTAAGTTTGCTAATCTCGACTTAACATACTTGGTTGAACATTTACCCGACAACATGATGGTGTACAATAAAAATAAACAGATTTCCACAGGTTATTTTCAGAAAATGCTAAAGTTTGGTTGAGAAGTCTTCCTTCCTGCAGACATGGTGTATGGTTCTCCACTGAGGCAGACATTCCACAGTGTCCATGTGAATATGTGAAGTAGTTAAAGTTTGTGATAGTTGATGTGAACGAGCTTGCCCATCAACAGCTAGGAAAGGCTGCCAAATTACAGAAAAGGTGCTTCACTAAGACTGAAGGAAAGAATGTACAAAAGTGGAGTGTGGCTATGGCTTTGGTATGTACCAACAGTAGGAAAGTCTCTTGGCTCCATCGGGACAGGATCTCATCTTATGTTTCAATGAGTTGGTCCTTTACTCTATGAGATAAGCAGTTAAAGGATGTATATAATGTTAGGGTGATCCTAATTTTTGAAGTTTAGATTTACAACACTCTCATTCCCTCATTTTGTTCCAATATATACATAAGTAATTCACTCCAAATTGTATCCATATTTAATAAGAATGTAGGGGTTCCTTAATGTAGCTGAAATTTTACCTTGTAGCTCACATTATATCTACATGACCTGAAAATTCCAGAATTTTATATATATTTTGGAAGATTCTGGATTAATCTGAAATGTTTTAGCATATTGTTATGGAATATTCTAGCACATCTGGAATCTTTTATTATATTCTGGAGTATTCCAGAGTACACTTTATTATTCAGAATGTTCCATATGTAAATAATCCATGCTGTCACTTTTTACTTCTGGAATTTTCTGTGTTATATCATAGAACTTGACCTGCCAGGTGTTTTCAAAAACTATGGGGCCTTTCCTTTGGTCCAGATATTGCAATTTTCAGTCGATTCCAGCAATCTTAGGAATATAAGGACCAGTTCAGTTATGAAACTGCAGCTTACCATAATGAAGTAGCAGAAGCCATAGAGGAAGTAAAGGACAATGTTATTGAGTTTGCTACAAGACAACTTCTGATCAACCAAACTAGAGAAGATTATCAAGAGCTTCTTGAACTAGCCAGAACCTTTCTTGGTTCCCAAAGTGCTATAACTATAGTGTTTTTTTTTTTCCTTTTTATATGTTGGATAAAAAAGTTAAATCTTGTATAGTGTGATATTTTGCACTATGACAAGTTTGTGTAATCTCTTTTTTTTTTTATACTATATGTGGGTTTTAAAGACCATAATGTATAACAGGTAGATACTTGGTATATGTTTAATACTTCAGAAGTGGTACTCAACTCTGCATAATAAACAGCTGTTATCTCTCACATCTGCTCATAAGATGTTTGCACATACCAAAAGCCATGCCTATGTCAGTTCACATAAACTATGCAAGCCTATGATGTAATCATCATTAGACTGTAACACTTCTTCATTAGGATGGTTAAACATCCTGCAAACACAGTAAACTCCATGAGCATCTTAATTTTTTATATATACACTGGCCTTCCACCATATTATCAATATGGGATTCTAGCTGTTTCTTCTTCAGAGAGATGAGTACCATTTCTGAAGTTATTATTTTCCTTGTCTGAAAATATATTTTAGATAAGTACTTGCTTCTCTCTGTAGAATTACCCACCTATTATGGGGGGCTGTGTAGGCTAATTGTTTCGGGTTTGAATTGATAAAAATCCAGGTTATATGCAACTGTGAGTGGAGTACCCAAGTCAGTAACTCGAGGAAGTTTGTAGTTAGAATTACAAATTGAGTTGGAGACTGAGATACAAAATAACATACAACACTTTAAATCAAAATATTTGAATATTCATTCAAGTCTACAGTTTCAAAACTATCATGAAAATCTGCATTAAAAGCATTGAATTCTTTGATCTGAGCAAACAACTCTTCATCGATTAAACCTTCAATGATAGGCACTACAACAAACAAATTATCAACCACATCATTACGTAACAAACATCCAGACTTTGTTTAGTTTATGTATTCTGGTTAACACTTCTAAAATATCTCTCAACAAAGCTGTTACTTCTTCACTAATGAGTTCTCTTTTAACATCATTTTATTACACATTATACATCATTTCCTAACTCTGCTGTTAAACTAGAGAGGGTAGCAATAATTATTTTAATAGATGTTGTACATTGTAAATTTTCGATACATTATAGTACTGCTATTCTTCTGCTGACTTGCACGGATTCCGGTACCATATAGATCATTGTCGAAGAACTGATTTTTGGTCCAAAAACATGACTTTTTTTTATTCACATTTGTGTGTGTCCAAATGATTATTCAACCAATACCACATGCTTTCTTGGCAAGTAGATTCTCCCTCTAATTGGTTTAATTCCAAAACTAGAACTAAAATGATAATTGGTTATGGTCAAAAGCTGTTAAATGGCAGCTTATTTGCATGTATTTCTCCATGTCTTCCTTCCGATCAGAGTTCTGCCAGTGATTTTTTATAGAACTCACTTCCTGTGGTTAGTGTCAATAATATAAACTTTCTGTAACCTTTCTCTCTGCTATCCTCACATCTATTTAATGTAGATAAGACAAACTGCTGGTTTCTACTTCACATATTGCATCTTGGAATGCATCTCAGTATTTAATGTTTCCATTTCCTTATTTGGACAATCATCTCAATGTGGTTTACATTAGACATCTACTGATGTGTATGTCCTTTCTTTGCTTGACATGTATGTGTGTCATACATGAATATTCACAAAAGATTGTATTTTCCATCCACAGAAACATTTGTAATTCTTGCAAAATGCCCTTCCTCCCCACTTCAGGTGTGTTTATTTTGCTTCCTTAAGAATTGTTCTGTTTTAATGCTAGTGTTCATGGGTTTTATTGCACATGGAGAATATGTTGCCCTCCAATTTGTTTAGGGTTGTATTCTAATTATGATTACATCATAGGCTATCTAGTCTGATAATACATGTTTGGGTGGGAGTTTTGTTTAACACTTGTGACATACATAATTCTTAGCAAGTGCTCTTTGCTCTGTAGAGAAATTAATTTCTATCTAAAATACATTACAATACTAAGCACTATGTTGATACTTTCATCATTGCTTCATAAAATAAATCTTAGATTGCATTACATTTTACAAGACAATATTTTTTACTACTTCTCAACAAAAAGTTAAGAAAAAAATGAAAATTTATAATAATTGTCAAGTATCACTTACTTTATAGGTTTTAGAAGTAAACCAAGACTGTCAATGTAATACAGCCTTTCAAAAAGAGCCTTTAGATGGTGGACCTGACCTACATGATTTTATAGCAGGAGTTGTTCCAAGGGGATCTACATATACAGATTACAAAGAAAAGCTGAAACGAGAAAAAGGTGAATCAACAAGGTGTGCATATATCCATAGTACTTATTTATCAAGATAAATAACTACACTATTATGGGTCTGTGAAAACTTAAACAATGTGTAATAATAGTGAGACAGGACAGCCTTTCCTTTATGTCTTATTAACATAACATAAGCTTGTGGCTGCTAATGGTGTTTATCTACTACCAGTAGCTTAGATAGATTGGATTATGCATTAAACATTTGTTATAGAAGTATTGGTTAAACATTAGGTAATTTAAATGAAAATTGTGCTTGGTAAGATTGTGAAGGTGTTACTAGTAAATTGCTACTCTTCGTTTTTTTTGTACTGAGTGGATAAGCAAATAGCCTTAATTGTTATATATATATATATATATATATATATATATATTTACTACAAAGAAACTTTACTATCCGAGTTTGCTGAATGAACTACTTGATGTAATAAATTTTGTGATAATTTGTGAATTTTTGCTATTATTAATATGTAAGCATACTCTACAATGAAATTATAATCTGATCAATTAGAAAGAATGTCATGTGCCTGTTATATGATTAGTCTCAATGTACTTAATAGAAAGAACCATTATAAAGCACAAATTCATATTTGAATTCAAGATATTTGATAGGATTCCAAAACTTCTACCTTTTGGGATGCTTACAACAAAACAAGAAAGTTAACAGAAATAGATGTTAGGTAATAGCAGGAGCTGCATTTCTTTTAAAGTTTAAAGTTTTCTCTACTTTTCATTTCAGACAAAATTCCTGAAATATGTTTTAAAAACTTCCAAACTTTTCCCATACTTCCCTTAACTCTCTAGTTATGTGTAGGTCAAAATGCTCTTGTCATGATGTTTTTTACTGAGTTCCATTCAAAGTTTAGTTAAACTACTTTATTATCAGCATTTATCTTTATTATTATCAGCATCAAAATGTAGTTTGTAATTCAGATTTTAATATTACATTTCAATTTCTTAATTTCACAATAAAATATGCAATAAATTCTCAATACTCTTTTGCTTGTATCACATGATACTTCTTTGTACTGTATTGCCCATTTTATATTTGCTTCTACCTCTACATGACCAACATGGAATTTAATAATTATTTTATATATATTCCCAAACTAAACTGTCAGTTTTATCACAAAGCTTTAGAGATACAAGCAATAAACTGAAGGCTAAGTGCCATGCCCCTCCAAACATATTGTGTTTTAAAAACTTTCAGTAATTCTCCCTGACATTTGTTGTAGGATTATTTCTAACCATTTGAAAGAGAATATTTCAATTTCTTGAATGTGGTTGGGCCTAAAGCCTTTGAGATAACAAGTTTTGAAACATTAAACATCCTTTTGTTTGTTTGCCATTGCTAACTTATTTTTGGCTTAGTTGGTAAGTATATTAGTTTTTAGAACATTATATTTTATATTTATGATAATATTTCAAATTTTAAATTACACATTTGAATTTGAAAAAAGTGATTTCTGAAACAACACTATTATTACTAAAAGTTAGATATGGAGATTGACATGACTTCTGTCATACCACTATAGACACAAGTTGAAAAGAAAAGCTTGAAAATTCTGAAACGGTACTACCTCTCCTCAACCAAAGCTATCTCGACCTTGATTTTCCCTCTAAGCATTGCCAAAATTTTGAACATCACACCAGTCTTTTATACCCCTCTATTTTTGCTTCATTGCAGCAACATGTGCTGATCATGTGACTAACCTCCACCAATCATACTGCACCACCTATACCAGTGCAGGTAGATCTCTCTACCATTGTAGCACAATCCTCACTTACTCGATTGACACTATAGTAGTTAGATGTGTATTTACTTTGTTCTTCATGTGAATCCTGCTCGTTCAAGTGTGGTTCATTGCTAGTTTCAATTTAATGTTTTGAATTAATAGTTAATTTTGTCATTTCATTTACGTTTGTTTTCTCACATTTTTGGAAGTCCAAGTGGACTTATGACTTCAAATATTAATATGGCGGATAAGGAAGTTCCCACCAGTATGGATAATAGTATGTCACTAGTCCACAGCGTGGCAGATGATGATGTCAGCCAAAAAGATTCAAGCTATAATTTGCAGAGAGTTGGGCACATTAGTTAGTTCTTCAGTTCATTCTCCTTTTCCCCTTGAACATGCTTTTGAAGAAGTTTTTCATAAGGGTGAAGACAATGATCCTCATCCTGATTATTACTATTTTTCTCCCTCACCGACATTCTTGTTCATGTTCAACATTTTGCTGATCAATTGCAGTTGGGTGTGGGTATGCTTTGTCCCCCTCAGCTGTTACACCAGTATTCTTTCACTCACCAATGTGTCTCAAATCCCTATTTGCATTCACAATGTCTGGATCCTCTCCTTCCCTTGTGGGACTTGAATCCCGGTGCTTTGATTCATTTTAATCGGTCCCAGTTTTCTAGGATTCACCTTACTTTGACCACCCTTTTACATGTTGTTTTCTCATTACAATTGTTATCTCAAGACTTCTGCCAATCTCCTGATCAATTCTCAACAGAACTGAGGACCCTCCTGTGGTCTAAAATAGCCAGTTTGTTGGCTTTGGCACTGTCTCTCACCACTTCAATCTTATTTTGTTGGGATTTACTGGGTTGTGATGCATTACTTGTGAGGGTGCATATCCCCCCTTTTTTTCTATAAATCAGCTTTGTTAAGCCCTATTTCATCGTGAAATGGTTTTTGGGGGTTGTCCTGAGTTTTTGGAGTCCAGGGTCAATGTGGTGAGATTACACTCCTCTTTGTCCTCCCTTGCCTCTTGTTTGTCTCGAACTACTATTGCTGCCAAATCTTCACCTGTTAGGGTTCAATGTGCACCTTCTTCCTCTCCCCGTCCCTAACCTACTCCAGGTGTTCCCTTCCTTATGTTCGTTCTTCCCGTTCTTACAGGAGTCAGCGTTATCAGTGATGGAATGTCTTTTCAAGGGCATATGGGGCCAAGTTACAATGGTTTTCAACCTTCTGGGAACACTTCACAACAGCATAGTGGGTTTTACAGGTTCTGTCCAAGGGTCTTTGCTTTTGGTTCTGGTCTCCTTATCTTCTATCCCAGTTTTCTTTCCTCCTCCTCAGGATCATTCCTCATCCAGTTGTCTGGCAGAGTTGATTCATGATCTTCTTCACATAGGAGCTATTGAATGTATGGTGCAGATTATTCAGGGATTTTACTCTCGTCTGTTTGTTCTCCGCAAAAAGATGGGAGATTGGTGATCTATCATTGATCTTTCCCAGCTGAATACCTTTCTGGAAACATTATGATTCACCATGAAGCCCTACCTCTTCTTTCTGTGTGTTTTCCCCCCAGGTGTTGAATGATCAAATTTGTTGTATCAAATGCTTATTCTCATATTCCCATCATTCTGGAGTCATGTTGTTATTTTCAGTTCCAAGCACTGCTGTTTGGTCATGCTTCAGCTCCTTATGAGTTATGTCATATTGTCCATTCTTTTGCATGTCATCTTCACTAATTGGGTTTTTGGACTCATCATTAAATGAATGACTGGCTACTGCTCACCTCTTCACAGGCCCAGTCTGTCACTCACATCTGCTTCCTTCTTCGAGAGTCTGCTTGAGAAGGTCTATCTCTTTTGGGGATGTGGGCCTCCCTGGAAGCTCTCATTATCTTTGGTTGAGCACACATGCATTTCCTTCATTGGATGCTTCTTGATCAATGGAATTTCTCCCACGATCCCTTGGATTATCCTGTCGGTTTTGCCCCAGAGATCAGGGCTGATCTTTTTTGGTTGCTCAACAGGGCTCTTACCACAGTAGAAGTTCTGCTTCCTCCACCTCATCCTGACTCTCATCTGTTCACTGATGCTTCTTTGGTGTGTTGGAGAGTTTCTCTCAACTCTTGGGAGATTTTGGGTCAGAGGTCCATCGAGGAATCTACTTTCCATATCAACATCCTGGAACTTTTGGTTGTTCTTCAGGATTTCAATCATTTCCTACCTTTCTTGCGGGGGAGGATGGTTATGGTTCATTCCAACAATTCCACTGTCATTAGCTATATCACCGAACAAGATGGAACCAAGTCCAGGTCCCTGTGTTTTGAAACACTGGATTTCCTGTACTGGGCTCACGACTACAACATAATGATCTTGGTGTGTCATGTTCCTGGTATTATGAATCTGGTTGCAGACCGCCTGTCCCGTCCCAACCAAGTCCTTCCTATGGAGTAGTCCCTTCATCCTCAAGTTTTTCAGTGGGTGTGTTATCGCCTGGTTTTGTCTGTGTTCACTGTTTCTAGTTATTGGGCTGCCCTGTCCAACAGCTTCCATTTCTCCTATTTTCTTAAATTTTTCTCATCCCCTATTATTTCCTTTCTTTTCCATTCTTTTCATCTTGTTCTTCCACCCTGTTCCTTTGTGCTTCCAGATTGGGATCTCACTGTGGTTCTTCATGCCCTTCCTAATTTTTCCCCTTGAATCCATTGCTACGTGTTCTTTGTACCATCTTTCTCTTAATGCATATTTTTTCTCCTCTTAATTTGTGGTCATCATTGTTCTGATATTTATGTTTTTAATGCTTCCTGCACCCTTTACCATTCTACTTATGTTCTCCTTTATCCAGGTTGTTCCTTCCTTCCCAAGACATCTGCTGCTTATGAAGGTTGTTTAACCTTCTCTCCTATTTCGTTGCCTTCCATTTCCCATTTATACTCTTGTTCTGATCCAGATTGTCATTCTTGTCCAGTTCATTCCCTTCATTGTTATATGTTCCATACTGCTTCCTGTTCTTGACTCTTTATTCCATGGAATCCCTCTGTTTCCCGTAATCTTTCTCCTATTACCCTATTTTTATGTCTATACATTATATAGGTTTACTATTTGTACATCATGTGTCATGTGCTTGTATATATATATATATATGTGTGTGTGTGTATGTATGTATGTGTGTGTGTGTGTGTGTGTATATATATATATATATATATATATATATATATATATATATATATACT